CTGAGCAGCACATTTCCATCTAGAGATCCTCAGCCCTGAGCACCCAACTCTGCTCAACACCTCCTGGAGGTCCTGAGCACCCGATTCCCCTCTAGAGCCCAATGCCCTCAGCACCTCCTGAGGGTCCTGAGCACTCAATTCCTGTCTAGAGCTCCTGGGAATCCTGAGCACCTAACTGCCCTCAACACTTCCTTGGAGTCCTGAGCCCCCAACTCTGCTGAGCACCTCCTGTGCTCGTGCCCCACAGGTCACTGTGTGCGTGAAGGTGGAGGAGGTGACCCCGGAGGACACGGAGGACCCTGAAGCAATGGGGATACCCCTGAGCCCTCCTGGGGACACTGTGTGGGAGGAGGTGGCCTTGGGCAAGGAGAAGTTGGTGGCCGTGGAGGCGGAGGAGGAGCGGCACCGGCAGGAAGGAGGTAATGGCCCTGAGGAGAGCCACTTGACCCCCACCCAGAATTGGTGTGAAGGTGGTCCTGCAGAACCTCAAGGTGGTGAGACACAAAAAACATCTCCTTGGGCTCCAAACCATCTCCTTGGGCTTCAAAACATCTCCTTAGATTCAAAATCTTCTCCTTGGGCTCCGGACCATCTCCCTGGGCTCTGAACCACCTTCTTGGGTTCAAAATCATCTCCTTGGGCTCAAAAACATCCTGGGTTCAAAATCATCTTCATGGGTTCAAAAACATCTCCTTGGCCTTCAAGCCATCTCCCTGGGCTCAAAAACATCTTGGGCTCAACATCTTGGGCTCTAAACCATTGTCTTGGGCTTAAACTCATCTTGGGCTCAAAACCATCTCATGCCCCCTCCCCACCCCTTAGACCATCCTGAACCCTCATCCCCCTCTCTGAGGTGAACTCATCCCTCTCCTGATGGCCCTGAGGACCTCCCATGAATGGATTTGGGGGATCAGCAGTGGGAGCTGGACTGTCTCCAGCACTGATGGAGGGTAGCAGGCTTGGAGGACATCCCTATCACAAACCAAGTCATGGATCCTCTTCTCCACCAGGTCCCACGGTGGTGAGCAGAGCCCTGGAGGTGCCCATTTCCCACCAACACCCCCCACACCCTCCAACCACCCTCCAAACCACCCCAACATCCACACCCCCTGCACGGCACATGCCCCACCACCACCAACCCCCACGAGATGCCTCCACCTCCCCACGTGGCCCCATGGAGGCCACCAAGAGCGTGGAGAAGCCATGGGTGAAGCCATCAGCACAGGATAAGGACCGTCCCTACCCTTGTGCTGAGTGCGGGAAGACCTTCGTGCGCTTGACCCACCTGAAGACTCACCAGCGAACGCACACAGGGGCAAAGCCTTACTCCTGTACTGCCTGCGGCAAACGCTTCGGCCACCTGTCCACCCTGACCACCCACCAACGTCTCCACACTGGGGAGAGGCCCTACGGCTGCAGCGCCTGCGGAAAGACCTTCACCAATCCCTCGGACCTCCACAAGCACAGGAGGTCCCACACTGGGGAGAGGCCCTACCCTTGTCCCTCCTGTGGGAAGTGCTTCAGCCAACAGTCCAACCTGGCCATGCACAGGAGGTCCCACACGCAGGAGAGGCCTTACCCTTGTGCCTCCTGTGGGAAGAGCTTCAAGTACGTGGCAGACCTGACAGTGCACGAGCGCTCGCACACGGGGGAGAGACCCTTCGCCTGCCCTCAGTGTGGGAAGAGCTTCAGCAACAAGTCGTCGCTGGCGCGGCACACACGGATCCACACACGGGCAGCAGCCAGGGACACCTGAGGGACGGGGTGGGGGTGGTGGACACCATGACATGGGGGTGGAAGTTGGGGGTGGGGGGTGTTCTCCAGGAGGTTTTTGGGTCCTGGAGTTGGCTTGGTGGTGCTAGAGATGGGATAGAGGTGGTTGATGTTCTCCATGGCTTGGTGGCTTCATGATTTGGTTGCAGCATGGGTGGTAGGACCATGAGTGATGTCCCTTGTGAGCATGGTGTCTCCATGGTCTGGTTCCTGGAGATCCGGTGTGGGTGGTGGGACCCTGACTCATGGCTGCCATGAGGTTGGTGGGTCCTGGAGTTGACTTGGTGGTGTCAGAGATGTGATAGTCGCATTGATGTCGCATCAAGCTGATGTCCCCTCATGACCCGGTGGCTCCACGATCTGGTTCCTGGAGATCCAGCATGGGTGGTGGGACTATGAGTGGTGTCCTCTATGAGCCTGGTGGCCCCAGGATAGTATCCCAGAGAAGATGTAAGATAGATAGGGATGAAGATGAACTGATGACTGATGTCCCCCACGACCTGGTGGCTCCATGATCACATTCCCAGAGGTCTGACATGGGTGATAGGACCATGACTGATGGCTCCCATGAACTTGGTGGGTCCTGGAGTTGGCCTGATCGTCCCAGGGATGTGAGAGGTGACTGTTGTCCCCCATGAACTAGTGGATCCAGGACAGTGTCCTAAATTGGATCTAACATGGATGGGGATGAGGATGAACTGATGACTTACGTCTCTCATGACCTAATGTGTCCATGATCTGGTTCCAACACAGGTGGTGGGACCATGACTGATGTTCCCTATAAGCCTGGTGGCCCCAGGACAGTGTCCTAAAGAGGATCTAACATCCTAACATCTAACAGGGATGAATATGAACTGATGGTTGATGTCCCCCATGACCTGCTGGCTCTATGATCTGGTCCCAGAGGTCTAACATGGGTGGTGGGACCATGACTGATGTCCCCTGTGGGCCTAGTGGCCTCAGGCCACCACATCCCAGAGGTGGAACATGTCAGGGAGTGAAGATAAACTGGTGAGTGACCTCCCCCAAGGCCTGGTGTCTCTGTGATCTGGTTCCAACACGGGTGGTGGGACCATGACTGATGTCCCCCCATGAGTCTGGTGGTTCCAGGAAGTATCTCACTTGTTCATCTCTGGACCATGACATTCCCCATGACCTGGTGGCTTCATGATCCCATTCCCAGAGGTCCAGCATGGGTGGTGGGGCCATTATTGATGTCCCCCATGATCTGGTGGTCCCAGGCCCCCACCCCCTACCTCACTGGCTGCTTTGGGGGCTCTGGGGAGGCTCAGGCAGCACCTCAGACTCTGCTTCCTCCCCCAGTGTCCCCCTGAGCATACCCCAAGGACCTCCCTGGGCACCCTCAAGAATCTCCCACAGCCCTGGATGCCCCTCAAGAACCCCCCTGGGAGCTCCTAAGGACCCCCTTGAGCACTCCCCAAGAACTTCCTAGCACCCCTTGGGTGCCCCCCAAAGACCCCCTGAGTGCTTCTCAAGGA